TTCCTACGGATGCGGAAAACACGGCTTCCAGCCGAGTCTCACGCGAACCGTGAAATTTTTTTTTACCCTTCGAGTTACATGTACATGTACAGTGCTGGGAACTGAAATCCGACACCTGAGCGGTGCTCTCGCATCGCAACGACCCAACACAGGATAGTAAAATTACGAAATAGAGACCGCTAGAATGTGAATGCAGGGCTCAGGGGTCGGATTTCGGTTGCCAGAACTGTACATGTCCATGTCCAGGAGCAATGTACATGTACATGTATTATGGTTGACTTCAATTGAACTCTGTATTTTCTATATTATATGTACCATGCACGTAACATAATGCAATATTCTAAATCTGGTCACGAGTGTGAATTTCAAAAAGTAGATAATGGCGCTTCTGTATGACCCTAGACCACTTTAAACTGCTGACCGTTGTCAGACAGTGCACGTTCATGAAAACAAAAAAGATGCAGCTGCTGTAGCGACACAGCACCTTATGTTCTGTTGTTCACTTTCGTCTGAGAACAAAGCAAGCAGAGTACAATGTACAATGTACATGTACATGTACTTGAAGGGGTATGTGGATTCTAAGTGTGTCATGACACTTTGTTTAGAACACGGAGGCTCCACTGCAGCCAATTCATATTAAGATCAGTCACCGGCACTACACAAAGAATTGTCCTCGCTGTGGTGATGGTGATGTGAGTGCAGAAATTCGGATCGTCAACGACCTTTGTGTACTGGTGCTGACTGATCATAAAAATCTATGTAATGACACTGTTACCAATGTTTCAAGTGGCGTTGCGAAGTGAGTGTCTGACCTAGCTTGCAGCTTGATAACCAACATGATCCTAATGTGCATGCAGCTAGAGAGTAACAGAAACCAAAACAGTACATACAATGTAGGTAGAGAGTAACGGAACAAGCAATAATTGTTGAATGCCTAGTAACTGGCTGTAGCCATTGTAGCCATCGGTTGTGATTCATGATCGTGATATTACTTTTTGGGCATTATAAACATAAAAGTGATCATTGAACTTCCAAACCCAGGCCTTTACGGTCATTCATGGAACTGCGTAGCAGTCTGTGTATGTGTACTCCAACACAACTCTCAACGCTACAGAACAAAGTGTAGTGTTGACTATGACAAAGAAAGCACTGGTGGTGACTTTTCACCCCAAAAGGCAAGCTTCTCCTTGCGCGACCAACATTGTGGTAGGGCACCAAAAACGAATTTTACTGCACGTATTTGATTACACAACCCCGCCGTTCTGAAAGGAATTATGCGTTGACTTCCCCTACTACCACCACCACCTCCAACACCACCAGCACCACCAGCACCACCAGCACCACCAGCACCACCAGCACCAGCAACAGCACCAGCACCACCACCACCACCACCACCATCACCACCATACGGTCGATCGGCAGTTGCCAGCAATCTACACAATCGCTTAAAGGGGAAGTCCGGTGAAAAATTTAAATTTCACAGTCCGTAGAGTTCGGGGCGCTGAGTCGAATGGTCTTTGTCCGAGGAGGCTGCGGCTTATGGTTCGTCAGATACGCCCAATCGAACATGTGCGAATTTGAGCGCGCATCACCCAGATCCAGGTGATGACGTCACAGCGTGCAGCCAGGTAGCCACACCATCTAGTTGTGTACAAAAATGGCCATATTCGGAGCGCGTTCGATTGGGGAACCGTTTATCGCAGCTTCTTCGGACCAAGACCATTCGATTCAGTGTTACAAACACTACGTACCCTGTGATTTTCAGCTCGGTAAACCGGGAGATTATACCGTATTTTAGCCGTTTCCGAGTTGGACTTTTCCGTTAGCCCGTCTACAATGGTCTATGGCCTATGCCGAGTATGCGCTCTGCGCTGCGTGCATGCAGTGCGTGCAGTGTGTTATCTAGCTAGCTGTAGTGCAGTCAACAAACTCATGTCACAACTGACACAAGACTCAGAAAACTAGTCAACACACGGACTTGTCATGTACTACACTCGTATCAGTCGTATTGTACAGTCATGTAGTCAGAGAACGTGCGTTTCTCCTTGCCGGTGCCGGTGGTTGTGCTTTGAGAAAGAAAATTATTATTTTAGTTTTCCGCACCCGCGGCGCCTCATTATTTTATGCTACAGCGATGAGTGCACAACCGTGACAAGTGACAAGACAGCGAACAGCTCTCGGACCTAGAACTTTCAGATTCCATAGCGTTGCGAGCGAAGAGTCGTGCCCGTGGTTCAAAGAGCCTGCACTGTTCTCCAATTGAGTAGTCCGAAATATTCCAAGTTCGCACCAAAACATCACCATGTGGCAGGCTACTGGAGTCTAAGCGAATCTAATCGGTATGGAACAACATTTAGAGCACTCGCATCACTCTTCTCCATTTTGGCGACCCTGCTCTCCAGCGATCTGATAATTACATCAGCCTCGTCTGCAATAGCTGCTGCTTCTTCATCAGTCGGAAACTCAGTAGCGCTCACTCTTGACCGGCCCGCGCGGCCATTCCTTCAGCTGACTACCGAGGTTCTCAGCCCCAGACCGAACTCATGAAGGTCAGCCATGGCTGCATCCTCACTCTCACAAGGAGTTACATGTCTTCGGGGTCGCTTGCACCACCTAATATCAGTCGCCAAATCATTTGAAATAGCACTGACACTATTGCTTTCACGCACTCCTTTTGACCTAGCTGCACGCTATGACGTTGCAGAGGGTGTGGCGCGGCCGCATGACGTCATGGCGCAGCCCCCGAAACTCAGTTTTTCAAACGGAAATATCTCGAGAACGCTTTGTCGGAGACATGTGGGACCAACACCATTCGACTCAGCGGCCGAAACTCTACCGACCCTGAAATTTAAATTTTTCACCGGACTTCCCCTTTAATGAATGTAGTGCACTCCGGAGCACAACAACCCGCCGTGGTAATAGAGAATTGTACTGCAAAATAACATACCCGATTTTGAGTGCTGCATTCTATGCACATGATATTATTCAAGTGGACGCAGGTGATGACTTACTGCTGGCGCCTGACAGGTCACAGCTTTCGTAAATAGCCCAAGTCACTGAGCATTAGCTCACCAACGATTTACAACTCACTCAAGACTGCAATGTTTTCAGCGTAGCATTATATTTCGCCACTTGAGAATTAGAAGTGGATCCATTTACCAGAGTCGGTGCACCCATTTCAGTCTCTCCCTCTCCAAAACACGCTTACAGTAGGTTTTGGTCCTTGGTGTTACACAGCCATCGAGACGCTTGGCTCTGTTCTCCTTGGTCATTTTTTCATCAAGCAAAAATATTCAGGATCACGAGAAATCGAGCTGCGAAATCAACTTCTTGCTCGCACCAGCGATGCTAAACATGCCCTGCGATACCCACTGCCACAACGGAAGAGAGAACAACAGGAACATTGATGGGGCCCGGTGCCTAGGGAAGACAACAGGCGAAGAATGAAACAATAATACGGAGGATTAGCAAGACGAAATTCGCGTTCGCGTTCGCTCTCCAAGGAAAGTCGAACTCAGTGACGGAATTCGCGTTATGAGAAGGATTAGCAATCAGAATTCGCACATGCATGACGTTGACACGACGTACATTCTTGGGCGTAGGAACCGGTCAGGCAGGCCCGGCGGTCGCCGGACCAAGACAGTAAAGCGTATCAAATTTATGACTGTTCTGACACGAATCTGCTATTCGTGTTCCGACTACTTTTTCGAACGAAAAATGCGAAAGTTCGCAATCCCGTTCGCGAACTGAAAAATGTTTGCGAACGCGAACGGGAATGTCGTCTGGCTAATCTTCCCTATTCCCTGATATGACTGTCGATCGCATACCGGTAGTTAGTAGTAGTAGTAGTAGTAGTAGATTTTATTATTTTACTAGGGGAGTCCCAACAGGCGTTGCCTTTTTACTGGGAACCCTAGGTGAATTTTTACCATGTTTACATACAGAGTAAGAGACGGGGCCTGACGGCAGTCAGTGGGAAGAGCATTCCATCTGTCTGCCGCCAGGAAAGAAATAGAACGCATGCCATATTGCGTAGAAACAGGCGGAAGAACTAATGCGCGCTGTGCCTGGCCGCGCGTGCGAGCCTGGTGTCCAGGCACAGCAGCCCTAAGCTGGAACAAGGATTGGAGAAGGGGACTAGCAAGATGTGGGGTCAAGCAGCGGTACACGAAAACATAGAGTTTAAGATTTGTGCGCTGTTCAAAAGAATAGAGATGATATTTGCGGAGAACAATTTCAGTAGACATCATACGGTCAAACCCAAAAACTTTCTTCATTGCTATGTGACTGACCGTCACGATTTTATTGAACAGGGTGGCGCTGAGACAGTGCAGATAAGCGTTACTGGCATAGTCGAGAGTCGATTGCACAATGGATAAATAGAACGTCCTCTTCGCTTCAGGTGTTAGGTTTTTTCGGCCATGTCTGAAGGCGGCAATCTTGCCGAACACCGCACCGCAGACCTTCTCGACTTGCGGCTGGAAGGTGAGATGCTCGTCGATGAGTAGTCCGAGATACTTCCAAATTTTAGTACATGTACATGTAAGTTGAGATGGGAATTTCCCAACTTTTCGCACTTATCGGCAAAAACGAGACTTTTGCCTAAAAACAGAGCGCCAGACCGGCTGCGCAGCGCCGAAGGTTGGAGGCTCCTTAAGTACCTGTGTGTTCTTGGCTTGTCTTTTGTATACGCTTACAGACACCTCTTAACGCACTTAGTCCCAGGCCCGGATGTGCACAGCAAAACAGGATAAAATCTCGTGCACATGGGCAAACGTAGAATCATTACGTACGCGTTACTACGAGTAGACGTTAGACGCTTTTCTCGTATGTTTCGTGGTGTACATGTACTTGCTGCAAATCTGAAAATGCAGAAACTAAATTCGCCTCTGTTTTCACTGCTGGTGATATATGCCCTTTCGTCATGTCCACCCAGTGAGAGTAAAAACCTACCCGAGTATTACGGACGAGAGTACTTTGTGTCCAGTGATGATGATCCTAATCCCAGTCTCGCCACTGTTACTCAAGTCGAGCAGTTACAAGTCGCTGTGCAGGCGCTTATACAGCAGGTTTCTAATCTATCCGCAGTGCTCTCCGCGCGCGATGACGGTTTATCTGCGCAACTTGACGCCGTTTCAGCTATGGCTAGCGTACTGGAAACGCAACAGACTAATCTATCTGTGCGCCTCAGCTTCCTGGAAGGGCCAGGACCAAATGTGTCCGCCCGTCTCGACAACCTGGAAGGGCAGCAACAACAGCAAGGTGAGCGACTCAGCATTGAAACTGTGCGTTTGAGCAGCCTAGAAAATACTGTCGCCGGGCAGCACATCAACGTTTCAAGCAAGCTCAACACGGCCGCAGAGGATGTGAAGATCCTAGAAGAAGCCGCTTCAAACGCGAGCAATGGTCTGCAAATTCTCCAGGGAAACATGAGTGCCCTTTCAGAGCAAATGCAGACTACAAGCGTTCTGATCAGCAACTTGGAGAGCTCCCAGGTTAATCTCACGAATCAGGTGGAGCGAGCAAAAACAACCTACACGCATTGGGGCCGGCAAGCTTGCAACTCTTCGCTAACCCTTTACAGCGGTATCATGGCAGGTCCGTTCTTTTCTACCGCAGGAGGGGGCAGCAACTACCAATGTCTGCCGTTTGAACCGGAATACAGTGCGTTCGTCTCTGGATCCCGGGGCAATAGGCTGCATTCGAGTGAACTCCAAACTGACTTTGCAGCGCTGCCGAAATTCCAGGCACTGTACCAACACACTCCGGCTTGTTCAGTATGCGAGGCATCCGCGCAGCTGATGCTTCCAGCCCGGCTATCATGCCCGGATGGCTGGACGGTGAACTACCGGGGTTACCTCATGTGCAGTATCCAACATCGTACACAGTATATCTGTATGGATAGTGATCCGCAGGCTGTGCCGAACACACAGAGAAATGTCAACGGGGCAACCCTGCACTTTGTCGAAACAGGTGACACCACAGATATCCCCAGCAGCTACGACACCAACAAGGAAGTGACGTGCACGGTTTGCACCAAGTAAGACATACACCATTATCATATTATTCCGTTCACTCTATTCAAATTCTCTTTTCAGTTCCTGATAAAAAGAAACCTTAAGTATCACCGTTTTCGACACGTATGACATACATGTACATTTACACTTGCATCATCGTGTTTAGTGTTCGCATGAATTCTGTGCGCTAGTTTGGTGCGCTTCATATTCTAATCGCCAAAAACTACAACTCTCGTGTTCTTATGAATCGTTTGTCAAATCAATTAACGCCTTCTTCATTCATTATGATCAGTACATTATTTATCTTTTCACCGTCGTTTCTGTTTAAAGCGACGAAAAAGGTGGGGCACAGATTATGCGCTAAAGTCCACCAACTAAACCAGGTTTTGAACAGTCAGACGTGCACAAGGTAGCACCTGACTGACAAGAAGTACTCAGACATTTCCACGGAAAGAACACTTCGTTGCCGTATCTAGTTACAGTGGTGGAAAGTTACTCTTAACTCGTTTCCATATGTCCTTTTCCTTTCTAATAATGATCTAGACAGTTTATCAGTGGCAAAACAAATTATGTGAGTCAGTTTGTGGACTGCCAACGTGTTTGTTATTTTTTAATAAATTATTTTAATTCGCAAATCCAAACGAGCACAAATGCTCAATGACAAGGCAGCGATTATGTTATCGTGTTATAGGGAAGGAGGGTTGGGGAGAAAAAAATGAGAAAGAAGAGAGAATGATAGATATCTCAATGAAGAGCGAAGTGTTAGAGCGAAGTGTTATCAAAACGTTAAGTAAAGCCAGCGAATGACAGTTCTGTGTCCCGCCTAAGAAGACCCTCCTGAAACTAAGTACTAACTGCTAACGAGAGTACTTGCTTTTAACTTCTCGGGGATTTTTTTCAAAAGTCCCGACCCTGCCCTTGCAGTTACGGACTTACGCGGGTCGCCAAGGCAAATAATAATGGTAGACAATGAAAATCAATCACACACAGGAAGCTGTCTCTGGGCAAGTTTATATTGTAACATCATGAGGGTTGGAGGGCATACCGTGCGACGGCAGCTTTGAAGCTGCTGAGAAACGACAGTGCTCTGATTGCATCCCGTACGAAGTTCCAAAGGGAGGCAGGGTGAACTCGTCCAGCAAGGGTTCGTGTAGCTGGCAGACGGAGCCCCAGGGCGAGATCCAGGCGCGCCATACATAATATGCGTAGCTTAGAATCCCTCCATCACAGACGTATCCTCACCGCTATCACAATTCTTTTCAAATACATCCACTTTCAACCCCATATCTTATCCCTTTTTGATAATAATATTTCTCGGACTGACCGCAGACCGACCAAACTTGTTTTCAACTCTCATGGAAAATTTTCATCTTCCCTTTTCTTACATAAAATCGGCAAAATATCTAATTACCTTCAACCCAAGATTACCGCTCTAGATTCTGTTTCAGAATTTCGGACACAATTTCGCGCTCAATTAGAAACA